TAGGAGTAAAATCTAATTCAATTAGAAAAATATACATGCAGTGAAGAGATAAGGCAAGTAAGGATTGTGAGGCATAAATTAGAAAAGGAATATGGGAGGATGGGTGTAGGGAATAAAAGCAAGAGAGAGAGAGAGAGAGAGAGAGAGAGCAACGATGATCGTGTGCAATAGTATAATCATCTTTACCATTGGTACATCCTACGTACAGAAGTGTGCTCAATTTCGGTTCAGCAAAGGGAGAGGGGGGGGGGTTAGCCTATTTCTAACAGATGTGGGACCTACATAGACAGCATTAGCTACGGGGGGGGGCTAATGATAAATATCATAAGGCCTGCCATTTGAAATAATAATAATGTTTTACAAGGGGGTAATCAATTGCAACAGGTAGGCAATTAGTCGCCCACCACCTTTGTTAATCATTTGGAGCTCATCAACTCTGATGGTGGTGTTCTGCCCACCAAATACAAATGATATGAAGATGACGTGCATTCCCATTGAGCCTATTGAGCTAATAAAATGCTTCGGATGGACTTCAATCGTTCATGCCTCGCCAGCATCTGTGGAAACTGCAGTCTACCGAAATCTCCTGAGCAGATGGAAGAGTCTAATCTTCCACGATTTGTGGCAACATCGAAAAGCCATAACTTACAAAACCATTATAAATTTAAGTTTGAAGTAAATGTAATACTACGTATTGAACTGGGTTTGAACTTACAGTCACCAGTGTAAATACGTATAAAATTGAAGAGTAAAATTGTTGATGAAACTACCACAAATACAAACTCGCATCCATTAGGTGATATGATGATGCCGAGCAGTGAAGGTGTATACAGTATGAAAATTAACAACTATGTATAACTTGAACTCGAGACCATATCAAGACAAATACATTTCGATTGACTTAATTACAATTACCATAATTCACACTACCTATAAGTGAGTGATAAAAAAACAGTAATTAAATTTCAAAAAAGTTTTATTTATAAAAAGAAAGCCTGTAGAAAGCTTGAAGGTCTATAAATCCCAAAGTAAGCGAAGCTATCGGAAGACTATCGTTGTACAAAAGTACATAGCCCAGTTAATGACTAAAAGTTCATGGGAGGAGTTACAGTTGGCTTGAGGTGTTGGAGATGAATGCCATCGTTTAAAAAATGTGCTCTCCAACGCCCATGTGAATTTAAAAAAGACAAATTGGTGAGATGCACTTTGCCAATACCTTTATCAGTGCAGTTGGCCAATCTCCATACTAGGTGTAAGCTAATGGGTGGTCTGAAAGAGATGAACATCAGTGTCTAAGGTCACGCACATTTCGACTTTCAACTGAAGCAATATGCATTTTTTTACTTCCTAAGCACATGTTTTGTACAAAGAGCATTATTTGATGAACAAGACATCAATCTTCATATACTCTAGGAGTAATTTAAAAATCGATAGCTTACTGTCCTGCGATTCAATAAAAGATCTGGGAATATGAAATGAAAGAGAAATCTTAATATGAGAACTAAAAAAACCGACGTAAGAATATAAAGATAAAACAATGATTGCCTCGCGAAATAAACTAGGACACTAAGAGGACTTAAAATTTAGGTCTTATACAAAACCCAAACTAATGAACTCCAAGTATTTTATACATTGAATAATGAAATACTTACAAGTTGGCAAGCAGACAGTCTTTCTGCTGAAGTTTCTTTGTTTCTCCTGAAGTATTGGAGGAAGGTCCATGATTGAGAGGAAGGACTTCATCTTCAGGAACCTCGAAGCTTGGTAATTTTGTAACCGTTCCCTGAAAATCATGAAGTATCCCTTTACCTTTCCAATGGACTCATCCAAGAACACGCCTTCAAGTACTGCCTATCACCTCAATTTTTAATTAAGCACATTTAGGACAGAAGACATCTTCTTTTTCGCTGTCTCTGACAATTTCTTATCTTGTATAAATGCAATGAAATTACTACATAAATTACAGCTACCCGATCTCAAAGTTCGTTGAAACTTACATTTTCAAAACATGTGACATACAGTCGATTTCCAAGTTCACCAGTTGACAGGAGAAGGGTCTTAGTTAAAGGGTCCCAATTGTACCAATTTGTCTGGACAAATCCCTGTTTGAGAGCCTTCGTGGTTCGGAGCTCGCGGTTGACTTGATAGAGCTCAAAACCCTCGTTGGTCACAAAAATAATCTCAGAATCACCTGACCAAACAAAACCTATAATGATGGAAGCCGATTTCTGGTGAAAAAATAATTACGATAATGAAAGCAAAAACCTTGGAATTTCGTGAATATGCTAAGTCTTCAGGTCTGCCATTTGAAAAGTTTATGAACTCGACGGAATTACGCTTCCTTTGTAGGCTCAATATGGAACAATGTGGATCAAATTTAATTGATAGGACTTCTCCCTTGTCATCGATTCTGCAAGGAATAGTAAAAGGATTAAGCAACCAAAACCAACCGAAAGTTAGAGGTTTGTGGAGACCTTGTAGACTTAACATTGACTCCCATGGCACCTCTAGCTCTGAGAGTAAACACCTAAATATTAAGAGATAAATTCATTATTAATTAAAAATAATATGCGTATTCATAAACTTTAAACGAATATATAAATCAAAAAAACTTTTGGATAAATGGTAAAAAACAACGCGCCTGGCAATTAGCAGGATCATAAAATACACTGTTCATACTCCCAATTGGTTCGAAGACGAGTGGATTCGAACATAATGACGCAAATGATTTCATGATTGAAGAAATAACGTCAAAACTCTAAGAGCAGTAGGCTATATGGTCGAAGGTCATATTTATGACCCAAGGTCGTAGAAATGATTCATTATTATTTTGGTGAAGTTAAAAAATAAAAATTGGGATTAATGATGTTGACAAATAAAGTAGTGCTGAAATTTAAACACATAGTGATTAACGTTATTGGCATAGGTTAGATTTTATTGCATAATTCATGTTTACTCTAGTGACAGAGACGACCTTATTGGACACTAGCCTACTAATTCATTAGTACTGATTGATATTTGGACTTATGACGTTTAAAAACATTTTCTCATTATCATATTACCGAGCCTGCCTTTCTTTCCGTTATATTGTTTATTTGTTTCTGTTTATATCATTCTGGTAGGTTGATGAAAATTTCACATTTTACTGATCTCTTATTCTTTTACATTTTATAACTGTTTTTGTTTGAATCTCGATTGTGATTCTAATGTGGTTAAGTATAATTTTTTAGATGAATTTAAGCGACCTTAGAGAAGTTATCCTTCCATCAATCGCAAATGCTGACGGGCAATACAAGCATATCCTTTTTACCATTGATGACTATGCTCATTCCCATGGCAATGCGGTCATTTATAGAAGCACTCTTTGTACAGATTTTGATGTACGCTAGAGCTTTTTGATAAAATTCGATCTTTAGAATCCGAAATGGACGATTTCTAATATCAGTTCTTTGGGTTCTCTTCCAAGCGATTCTTCCCTTGGTAATATTACATATATGTCGTCACTTTAGGTTTTGTCTTCCACTTCTGCAAAGTGAATCAGGAGAATAAAGCGAGTATTTTGAGTGTTTTCATTGACACTTCACGTTTTAATTCCCATGCTTCCAAGGTATAATCAATCAATAATGCGTATTTTCAGTGTGACTCGATTAATCCCAATAAAAATCAAATTCTTTGCCGTTTTGGTGACAATTACTATGTTCAACATCTGAATGTTGTTGATATCAATTCCGCCGTAAATAGTTATTCTTTGGTTTAATTTAATTTTAGTTTCGTCCCACGGTAAAACCTTGCGTCCCCAGTAAATTGGAAAGGTGATTTTCCTGATCTATTTTACTTTATTCTATTAAATTTTAGACTGGATGAGCTAATGAATGAAGTTGAGGAATATAAGTCACGGTATTCATTTTTATTGAAGGAGTTCCACTTGCATTACAATCATATTCACAGGAGTGTTAATGTGGTACTTTTATTGTTTTTTGGTATCTAAATATGTAGACAAATTCGTTGAATACCCTCCAGATACGTCTTTCTGAAGTTCGAAATCAACTTTCAACTGTGTTCACAAAAAAATCTGAACTTTTTTCCAGGTTATCAGCTTTGATTTCAAAACGTGACACTTTAAGTAAGTTTATTAAATCAAATCATCTAATCTTTAGAACACAAAAAGTCGGAGGTTCTTTTAGAAACTCAATTATTGCAAAGCCGACTACAAGGAATCAACACTCGCATAAAATTAAAGATGTAACTTCGTATCCTATCGATTTCACCCTCTTTGTTTGTTTAGATCGGATATAACAAAGTTGACACAGCTATGTAATCTTCGGCGATTTGAAATGATTCGAGAATTAAAATACTATTATCCCATTGAATTTGTTGGAAGGCCTTCGTCTTTTGGAAGGACAATTTCAAATCCGTCAGATTGTGTGAGTAATGCTGTTTTCAAACTTATCTTATGAGTTCGTACTCCAATCACCAATAGTGGTTGCTACGGGTTACGCTTTGCTATTTATCAAGTTGGCACAGAATAATTGATTCACTCAATGACGGAACTCGCGTCCATTCTTAGAATGGACCCAGCTCAACTATAGGTAAAAGTGAAGATATGTGAAATGTCGTTGGGAGTAAATTCCGATTGACACGATTTTACATCAAACGATATTGTTGCAGAAGGGGTGTGCGATAGACTTACCTCCACGTGGTGCACCCTGGGCAACGTATACTCATACGGCATAAAAGTCTATTAACTGGCAGTTGACTTCTGACTTCAAACTACCACCCCCCACTCTATGCCATATTCGACTAATTTCACAGTACTCACTTCACCTTTTTTCTACCTTTGTATCTGTCTCTTACATCTTTGAAACACTCCTCTGTTCCCCCCCCCCTTCTCGACTTTTTTCACTTTGATGTTCCTTCCCCTCTGTGAAGCCTGAAGTCAACTAATGGGCTAATGATAACCATCAAGACGCCTGCCATTTGATATAAATAAATATATTGTTGCAGAATATGTTAGGTGTCCTATTTGCCTGAACTTATGAATGCCTCAAATATTTCCCAATTCTCATTTAGATAATGACGATCTGTGGTCTTCTCCTATTGGAATCAGAGGCTCCGGGAAATTCTGCAGCTCCAGCAGCTTACGTTGATACTGGAAATGGAGTGCTGCTTCCACTTCCAACTTCAACTTCCAGCACTTTCAACATAAATAACTGTGATACTGTGTAGGTCTATTTATCACAAGAGCTTTTGATGCTTAATATTTATCATTAATATTGACGCGATCTTATTCACTCCTAATAGGAGTCAGGAGGGCCAGCGTCTATCTCAATCTCTACGGAGTCTTCTCCTTTCTAATAGACCTCCTACGGCAACCGCGGCAATTTTTCACGTCATCTGTCTACTACAACTTCTTTCCACTATCCTGAACGTTCCCTTGAAATACCCCCTGGATTGTGGCTTAGTCAGCCCTAGAGATGCATTCCGGCCTAGAATCATAGATCCCCGCCTTCCATGCAGTGAAGGATCCCCATATGAAACGTAATTTCCAGCTCATTGCAGCATCAATTGATAGTTATACCGCTGTCTGCATATACATAGTTTATTGACTAACGAATGCCGTTTTTTGCCTAGGTTCCCACTGTATTCTCAAAGAAATACTGCCGCATATCGGCATGCTATCTATCTCTTTAATCAGAACATTGTCTCCCTCCGTACCTACTTCAATCTACAAACGACCAATCCTCTAGCAACCTTGTGGAACATTCAAAACCTTTTTGAAGCCCGACTGTTAAATTTCAGTCCAAGACCCCAGAGGTAATGATAATATTTTACTCTAATATATAAGGTCAGTATATATGCACAAATCTACACCGATTTTATATTGTTTTTCCAGAATGACGAAAGATGATAATCACTCCGCCGGTGGTAAATAATTATATGATTTCTGGAACTTTCCCTGAATATAGACTCTGTACATCTTCAACTTTTTCCGTCGATTCACAATCAGTCTTCGATCTGTTCTGATTTGCTTCTCTTTAAATCCCTGATCCGTGAAGAGTTTTGTTACTTCATCTAATCAATAAACAATTTATAACATTTTCTCAATTACCTTGCTGAAAAAAGTAAGCACAAGTACCATCGCCTCTCGTGTAGAAGTTTTGTCCTATACAACGGCCCTGTTTGAACCGAATTTGAGAAAGATCGTAGAGACCATAATCGCGAAAGAATAAGAGACCGCCCGGTCGAAGACAAGCATACAGATTTTGGATAGTTTGGGAGAAACTATAGAGATCAATTTTTTGAAAAAAATAATAACCTACTTAGAGGGACTGATTGCGGAGAGAACAAAAATGCAGCAGATTGCATCAACAGATTCTGGCGGAAAAGGCCAAGTTAAATTCGGTTTTGAAATATCTTGCTGGAAGGGAAGACAGTGCTTAGGACTGAAGTGTGGAGAAGATTTGACAAGAGCGACGGCTTTTTCTGAGAAATCACAGGCATAAACGAATGTATTGTTTTCTCCTCTCCTTAAAACAGCAATATTAGGGTATTTGTGTAAATAACCACTACCATCGATTTTCAAGAATAGGAGCAACTGAATTACCAGGCCCACAACCAACCTCTAGCACTCGAAGACTACTTTCTTTGCCCGGAAATGATGCAGGTCCATAAGCGAAATTGCCTGAGCATAAAGACCCATCCAGTAATTCGTCGAATTCACGGGGCAGCCATTTTCGGTTTTTGAAAAACTTGGACTCGTGTTTACCGTAAAATTCATCCCAAAAATTCGATGCTTTGGTTATAAATTGTTCTAAAAGTTGGGATTAATATGAAGATGAATCATACCGCGTTCTTCCTCCGACATGGTTATGATAGATGTAACATTTAGCATTGCGCGTACCTCTTGCTCCATCTCCTCAGTCCACTCATAATCATCCCTAAAATTGCAAATAAAAACAAAATGATTACCAGGCATTTTGCTCGAAAACATCATCCTCGTTTTCGAGGCGTCTGTTACCGAAGGTTGACATGTGCAGGCAAATGCAACCTTGAAATTGGCATTAGGATATAATTAGTTGAATTTGAGTAATAATATTAAAGTTCTCTTATTAAGTAATCTTATTAGTTCAATATTTACATGACTTTTTATAAATAATAGATTCACTCATATAATATAGTCAGATAAATAAAAAATAATATGCAACATTTTCATTTATGTCAAATTAAAATGCAAAGCAAGTAAACATTTTTACCGCAGATTTTATTAGTAGTTAAATTCTAATTCCGATTTTTGTGTTAAGTAAGACTAGACTTCATAAATAGTTATTTATTTCTGATATTATTGATAAATAAATAATGCTCAAAAAATTTGACGAAATCATCGAACTTTTCGAATTTTAATCCAAAAATTCAAGGTGAGGTGAGCAAACTATAAGTGCAGTCTACTACTCAATTAAATTAAAGTATATGTTCAATGTCTATAGGAATAGAAGTTTTTGTTTGCTTTTTAAACCAGTGTTGAGAAAATTTTGCGTACTGATTATGGGAGATATATTGTTTTAGTGCACTTTATCACAACTTATTTTAGCAGGCTGCTCTTATATAGCACAATGTTGCTTAGCTACCTTTCAATTAGGAACTTTCTCATCTTCCTGAACAGTCGTCCCTTGCCCCTCCATTTCACGATTTTTTGTTTCACTTGCTGTTGAATCAGTTGACATTCGCTTTCTAGAATCCTCAGTAGTTTCTCTCACATTAACCGTTACTGAGAGCATTTTATTTTCATCCTTTTGGTTATTCAGTTCATAGGCTACTATTTTATCTTTTAAACTTGTGTCCTCTTTATTTGTTTTAAAATTAGGTTTTTCTTTCAGAATATTATGAGGCGAATAAAAGCGTCTTTCGCACGATCTACCTTCAGCATCTTCTACTGTGTACTGAGAAGATGGAGTAAGTCTCTCGGGTAGAAATTGAAAGTTTCGCATGAGAAGTTGTCGGTCCGGTTGCTTTGAAATGTTTCTACTACTGGTTATATTAACTTCTTTAGTAGATTCATAATCAGATAATGGTGATCTACAATATTTTCTCTTAATGGGTTCTCTAGCAGATATTTGTATCGAAACATTTTCATTTATGTTTAATAGGTCTTCACAGGGTAATCGTGTTGGAAATGATGGTCTTGAATGTGTCGGTACTCTACTTCTTCCGAAACTTACTTCCGTTGAGACTTCTTCATCTCTAAGCAGTTGTTGAGAACCTATTGAAGTTGAAAAATTTGGCCCATCACATCTTCTGATTGAAGGCGTTCTACAATTGTCTTGATTGATTCTTGAAAGAGGTGGTCTTCCACGTCTTCTTAAATATGGTGTTCCAGACTCTTCTTGCTGCAAAGCATCTTTAACTAAGGGTACTCGTAATGGGGCTGATGATCTGTTAAGTGGTAGTGCACCAGGTATACTTCTTAGTAGTTCTAAACATTCTTCAGCAATGGATTTTCTAAGAGGTGGTCTTCCACGTCTTCTAAAAGATGGTGTTCCAGACATTTCTTGCTGTAAAGCATCTTCATCTAATGGCAAGTAAAATTTGGCTGATGATCTGTGAAGTGGTGGTCTACCAGGTCCTCTTTTTGGTAATACTCGACCTTCTTCAGAGATGGTTCTTGAAAGAGGTGGTCTTCCAAATATTCTAAAAGATGGTGCTACAGACACTTCTTGCTGCAAAACATCTTCAACTAATGGTAATTGTATTGGGGTTGTTGATCTGTGAAGTGGTGGTCTACCAGGTCCTCTTTTTGGTAATACTCGACCTTCTTCAGAGATGGTTCTTGAAAGAGGTGGTCTTCCACGTCTTCTAAAAGATGGTGCTCCAGACACTTCTTGCTGCAAAACATCTTCAACTAATGATAATTGTATTGGGGTTGTTGATCTGTGAAGTGGTGGTCTACCAGGTCCTCTTTTTGGTAATACTCGACCTTCTTCAGAGATGGTTCTTGAAAGTGGAGGTCTGCCACGTCTTCTCACAGGACTTTCCCTCAGAATATACTCGTCTTGAAGCATCGTATCCACGTACTCACAGGGTTCAGAAATAGTTTGATCTGGTTGAGCTTTTGGCAATAAATTACTGGAAATGGGTCGTCTGTACCTAAAGTCATGGACTCTAGAGGGCGGTCTGATAAATCGTAGTCCAATTCTATCTGGATGGCATGAAGTGCATTGCCAATTGGTTTGCACTGAAGAACTTTGTTCAAAGGTTCCAGAAGCTAAGCTGGTTGGTGTTATAGGTCTATTGCAAAAACCTATCACAGGTTGATTTAGACGCGATACCCCACGATTTCTTAGTGCCTGAGGTCGAGGAACCTGAGTTTCTGCAAATCGATAGGGTTGAGAGCCCTGTTGAACAGGTCGAATCCATGGCCGAAGTTCTACAGTTCTCGTACGGGGTGCACCTGTTTGATTTGAAATACTAATATGAGGTGGACAAGATAACTGCGACATTGAAAAGCCCATGGCACATTGACTATGTGGTCTAATATATCGTACTGGTAACTCTTCCAAGGGCATTTGCGCTGAAGAGCTTTGAGCTCTGGGTATGTTAACAGGTGTGTTGGGCCTAAAATTAAGTTGAAAATTTCTCCGAATTGGAACTAAATGTCTGCGAAATGGTGGACACACAGCAGACGAAACATCAGGGAAACTGGGATTCTCAGGGTCCTGAGAATTTATATCACATGGACTTTCTTGAGGACAGGAAGAATGAGACGATTGTTCCATTAGCCCCTGCAAAAAAAATCTTTAGAGACATGAATAAAAGCTTCATTACTATTAGATTTTTTTCTAATTATAGCTATTTAAATAGGAAAGAGTTAATCTTTTCATTTTTCAAATTTGATTAAAATATAATCAAGCGGTACCTTTTTATGAAGCTCTTCGAATATTTTCTTCCAAGTAACGCCAATTCATCACGCTGAAGTAGTATTGATTGATTAAACGTGATACAGCTTTCATTAAGTAAGATTGTAGGGAACATACCACTTGGTTCCTTATCTACGGCACTAAGCGCCACCCCAACATTTTACCTTCCATAATTTCCGCCTCGTCACAGAATTTGTTCCTTTTACACCAAAACCTATCGAAAAGATCCTAGTTTTTTCAGCATCTGATTCAAAGTCAATTTAATAAGCACAAATAAGGATTTCCTCAGTTTGCAAGTTTGTTTACCGTTGGATATTCTCAGGTAGCCGATCTAGAGGGAAAATGAAAAATATTTTGTGTAGTCGATAACTGCCATACTAAAAAGGATTATCTTAACCTGCTGGTTGTAATCATCGGTATTATCCAGTCAGTTGACGGAAAGATTCCAATCAATGTGTCAAATGATATCGATTACATTATACCTGCCTTGGGTCGAGTAGTAATTTGAAATTAATTATGTAACAAGGAAGAATAAGTGAGACTGCCTATTTTTTTAAAAATTTAAGCAACACGAGCAAAAGACCACTGGAACAATGGACTTGGAGGTGCACCTTCTTCCTTGAATATTAAGTACCAATAAGATTTGCATAAAGATTTTGATGATATTTTAATCATGATTGGAATGATTTCTTCCAGTATTGCTTAACATTATCTGCACTTACTTTCACACGTATACACTATTTAAAGTCAAATTGCTCTAGGCTAAAAATCTCTTAAGCGAGATAAGGGCTTTCTTTCTTAAGGAAAGAAGTAATAAAAATGCAATTGGATGGAGGGATGCAACAATGCCAGATAAGGACAATCCGGATAAAGATGATACACAAAATCAGTTAACTTTAAAAGCCCCAACCGTTTCTCCACTATGCGAGTCATGTTGTGATTATAAAACGAGTAACTGATATAGAACCTTGAACTTATGAATAAGTGGGGTGTGCGATAGACTTACCTCCACGTGGTGCACCCTGGGCAACGTATACTCATACGGTAAAAAGTCTATTAACCGGCAGTTGAATTCAGACTCCAAACTACCAACACCCCACTGTATGTCAAATTCGACTACTTCAACCGTACTCACCTCACCCTTTTCTATCTTTTGTCTTCTCTTTTACGTCCGTGAATCACTTTCTGTCTCCCCCCCCCTCGAATTTTGTCACTTTAATGTTCCTTCCCCTCTGTGACGCCTGAAGTCAATTAAAGG